AATTCATCAAAACCCAGTTACTCTTCCTATCCGTGAATTCGATCTTGTCAGGCATTCAGCGGCACAGCTACGTCTGTAATTGCGTTAGCGTCTAGACGTTACTTCCGAAACAATCAAAATCCTCCTTAAAACACATTTATAATTGGACTGTTAGGCATACTCACTTTATTGTTGGCATAGAACGATTTTGAATGACTAAAGTTGTAATCAAATTTGAATATCGTTCTCTCTTCTACCGTTTGGCTTCGTTATTATACCATCATTTTAGTTTGAAAAGACAAATGGAAGGGATTCGTCACTTGGTTTTTATTGAAAACTCAAGGGAGATCTCTTTCACATTGTGATTGTTGCTTTTCTCATCGCTTTCGGCATCGAAGGACGGTGCATTCACAGCGCTTAGGCAATCTTCCTTCGTTAAAGATGAGGCAAAGTTAATAATCTCTTCCACTCGTTATTGTAACCGAGCAGAAAGGTGGCACAGCATGAATTAATCAGGAAAATCTCCGAGACACAATTTCTGTTCACAGGTATCAGCTGTTTAGCCTATTTTTATCATTTTAGGCCCGTTGATGTCGTTGGAGTCGATGTTAGCTGCTGATTATTTCTCGTTTTTCTTATATCTGATGGCTGGATTTTTCCATGATGCTATTGAATTTCACTTAGCCTTGTCTATCAAAAGGTCTTATAATTCCAGCTGGAGTGACATCCTTCTTCGCCTCGGTCTCATCAACACCTACAACGAAATTTTGAACCTAGTTATGCGTGAAAAGTGGCTAAAGCTTGCTAACATACTCTACAAATATTCACATTCACAAGCACTCAGACTAGTTTACCTTCGTGGCGGCCCTGGCTAAGGGGTATCTTTGTCCGTCAGACTGGCTTAGACTTGACTGGCCTGACGTCCTAACGACTCTTTTGGCTGTCGTAGGTCTGCTCAAGTCACTGTTCCGCCCCGTGACTGTAGACTGAGGCCAGCCGAGGACGACGAGAAAATTTGGCAAGACGCAATCCTAACTGTGGTTGGCACAAGAGTAGATCTCCAAACAAACAACCTTGGCTGATTACAGTTGATATCTGTATGACAGACGACCATCTAGAGATGCTCCCCGTGTTAGATGGTCCACACAATCCCTGTTCGCGCCCACGTCTGTGTAGTGCTCTGCTTAAACCTCCGAGACCTTTCCAGCGACACATCGATTCGTTCGTTTAGCTCATACAGACCCGGTTTGGGTTTCTTTACCTTACCTCGATGGACTCAAACTCAGGACATTCAATATCAAAAGTGCACTTTTGGATTGTCTTGGGGTCACATTATTGCAGTCTTTACAGTGCTCTCCTGTCTGAACCACCAATAACTGTGAGTACCTCTTTTACACACACACACACACACACACACACACACCCTTTGTACCTTGGTGGCCATGTAGCGGAACACCCCAATGCATCAATCTAGCACTCCTGATGACCTCAATTGACCTTGTTGTCTTCACTTGGTCGGGGTTTCTGAGCGACTCTCCACTCTCTGACA